GAGGATTTTTGAGAAAAAAAAAAAAAAAAAAAAAAAAAAAAAGGAGTAGGTAAATAAAACATAAAGCCAGGGGTGGGAGTCCACCTAGCTGAAGGCTTTTATTTCGTCACAGAGTCGGTAGCCCCGACCAAGCCTTGGCCTCCTCGCTCCTGGTGTCAGGATGGCTCCTATGCGGTGGCCCTGGAGAAGGCCCTGTGGGTTCCAGCGGCAGTTGGCGATCGTCCTGCTCAGAGTGGCAATCTCCTCCTCCGGGCCGTGTCCTCCGTGCTCACCGTCACGCTGTGAAATTCTGGGCCTTTCTCACAAAGGCCCTGCTATTCCTGAAGTCCATGTTGACTGAGACCTAGAGTGGGTGAGAAGGGGGGAAACAAAGTAAGAAGCAGATGGAATTAGAAGGAAGAACTAGGAGGGCCGGCCTCTCCTTTGATAGAGTTGAGGCAGAGGACTGTTTAGTGGAAAACACGGAAAATTTTAACATGCAGCATCCTCTTTACCTCTCCACAGCCCATTCACTAAAGATTGCAAAACATGGATGCTGAGGTGATTTTTTCAGTATGTGGATTTTCCTGGGTGACACCGAGAACCGCAGATTACCCGATCTTGCTACAAACATTCAATCAGCTAAGCAGAGCTCGAGAGTCAAACCAAATATTCATCTCAACAAGTGTCCTCAGCTATTAAATAAATTGATTTATCAGAATTTAATTTCACCTAATTAACACCACCCATCAAGAGCAAAATCAAGACTAATCTGGGTCATTAATTCCAATTTGAGTCTAAATCCGTGGACAATGTAAATACTGTAAAATTACCCGTTTCATTCCAGTATATCCTCTATCACTATAAGTAATCCAAAATAAAAACACACAAAATGAGAGTTAAAGGTATAAATGTTGCAATGTAAGCATTAAAGCTTCCTCTGTGGAAAACAAGTTTTGAATGAGTTGTATAGGACTGATAATGCTGCAACAGAACTATTCTTATTTCTAAAGCTAAAGAAAAGCTGCTTGTGCTTTCTTCTTTTGCCCATGAAAAACTAAATTCATTTTAAAATACTATTAAGGATTCTCATTACCTTTTCAAGCTAAGTAATGTTAATTCTATTTTTCTACATGACAAACAAGCTTACTCATTTCTAATTTGCAAGAAGCTGCCAAGTGAAAAAGGATTGTATAATAATTATTCATAGCACTGAAGAGGCATTCAGGACGTTATCCATCATTCAATTCAATTTTCTCAGATTCTAACATTTCACTGTAATTTAATACCAATGACAGTTTCTCAGCTTGGTCAGCAAACAGAGTTTTGCATAATCAGTTACCCAGGGAAGGACAGATACGGTGCAGTCCTGTGCTTGTCATTCATTTTGCTGAATCACAAGCCTTCCAGATACTGAAGGAACAATTTCTACACTGGATACAGAAAAAATGAAACAGTGACATATAGTGGTTCTACCTAATATTTAGAAATGTGTGAAATTAATACTTACTTGGGGAAAAAACTAGCAATCAAATACAAGTTATGCTCCTTAAAATACCATGTGATTAAAAGGTATTTTTTTGTTTTGTATTTCTCTGTACCTTGGTTTTTATTAGTACAATTTTGCATTGTGTACTGGTCCATTCATTGGGAAGAGTTTGAATGTGTACAGTGCGGTCTAAACTCTCCTTCTCCCCCCTTCTCTCCCTTTCCCCCTCTCCCCCGGTAACAGATGCCTGTGAGGCTGGAGCAGGGAGAAGTAGCTCTCCTCAACCACCGGTGCAAGGGTACACTAGACAACCACTGTGGAAATCAGTGCGGCGGTTCTTCTAACAGCTAGTAAGAAAAATTCCAGCTGACTTCTCTATTCCACTTTTAGGTGTCTTTCTGAAAGAGTTCAAGACACATAGTACATGGATCCGTGCATACCTGTGTTTTTGGCAGAGTAATTCATAATAGCTAAATCTTGGAGATGGCCTGTATGCTTATCACCAAATGAATGAATAAAGAAAAATTTGGGCTGGGGATTTAGCTCAGTGGTTCTGCTGCCTGCTTCACAAGCTCCGGGTCCTGAGTTGGATCCCTGGTACAAAAAAAAAAATTATCTCAAGAAAATGTGGTATTTACATACCCTGGAGCACTACACTGGCATAAAAAAGGCTACACTTGAGTCGGTCATAGATAAATGGCTGCACCTGAGATGATAATATTAAGTGAAATGGTGTTTTTGATTCTAGTTCCTGCTCCGAATACCCATTACTTTTTTTCAGAAATTTCCCCAAAAGAATGGTCTCACTTCCCATTCATGAATAGTTTAATTTCCCATACAGCCATGAATTACATCTTTTCACTTAATTAATACATACAATTATATATAACTAATTGGCAAATGACTAAGTTAGCTTAACACGAAATTCTTAATTTTATTGTTTGTTATTTTCAGACTTTACACCTAGTTTAATGTCATTAGAAGTTAGTATGGCAGTAAGTGAAATTGGGAAGCTGAAAAAGAATTTAGTTACTCATTTGCCGTATAGAGCTTTGTCTAGTTTATTAAGGTAGTAACTCTTTTTCAATTCAAATTACTAAAGGCACTTATGTGATTTTCCCCAATTAGGTAGCATAATCTGATTCATCACAATAATATTAACAAGTCAATAATCATAAGCTTATTTATCATACAGCTGTTATATTTGATGTGCTGTACAATGAAACATTTTGCTTTTATTTTCTCTTTGAATATGGATATCTATCATTTATTTAAAAAAATTTTTTTTTCAGTCTCAGTGTGGTCCCTGGGTCAACCAGACTGGCCACATACTGGCTATCCCCTGCTGACCCTGCCCTCTAACTGCAACTGCAGACGTATGTCACCAAACCCAGCCAAGAAAATGATTTTTTCAGTGGATTTTCTATGTTCATTCAAAATTATGAGATTTTGAGTCTACTTTTTGTGTTCCCATTCCATCCAAATAATCAATAGTCCTCATGGGTCTTTTATTGTTGATGAGTGATGATTGAGTGATATAATTTCATATGAAAATTTCAAGTCAGTTGAAAAGAATCCACGAAGTTGTTTTTTTAAAAATTATTTTACAGGGCTGGGATTTAGCACAGTGTTTCTGCTGCCTGCCTTGCAAGCGCAAAGGTCCCAAGTTTGATCCCAGCACCCCTTTTCCCCAAAAAATTTTACAAAGTTTATAACTTTTCCTTTACCATATACACTTACTTTACAGTTATGTTAATTTCTACACAATATTTTGCTTCAATATTGTTTGTGATCTTATTAATGTTATAAATCAATTTGGGAATTTTGATGCATCAAAATATTGAGCCTCATTCTCCCTCACAATATATCTTTCCAATATCTGTCATTACGTTTATTCTTATTTTGTTGCTTTCATCATCCAGATATGCTACATATGTAATTTTATATACCCTTACTTAATATTTATTGGTGCTCTTATATATGGTTCTATTTTTAATTTCAATTTATAATTGGTGCTATATAGACATATAACAGATTTTGTTATTAAATTTTGTGTCTCATTTAATCATCTATATTTAGGCAAATCATAAATTATTGATTTATTTTTTTCTATTCAAACATGAAAATTAAATATTATTAATTCTCCTTTAAGCATTGCTTCATTTGCATCCCAATAGTGTTATTATATTTTGTTTTAAGTTTTACACTTAATTGAAATATTATCTAGTTAATCTTGTTACTTCCTTTTAATCTATGCATTATTTAGAATGAAATGTTTAATTTTCAAATATTTGGCTATTTTTCAGTTGCCATCCTGTAATTCATTTTGGTTTAATTTACTTTAAAATTTAGAATACTTCTTGTGTCAAAATCAAAGAATATCATGTGTAGAAAGTTTATTGTTATAAACTTTGTAAGGTTAGTTTGTAGGATCTAGTTTTGAATATCTTGCCCACATAATTCTAAAAGGCTGTAAGTTAACTTAGATGATGTTATTGTTAAAGCCCTCTATTTCGTAATTAATTTCTTCATTTCTTATTTTATTATTTTCTGTGTACTGGATCTCTTATAGAAAGCAATTATTGATTTTCTTGACTCTAATTCTTTTCTTTTAGTTTTAAGATATTTTGTATTATATATTTTGATTATGTTGCTTAAACAAGTTAGTTACTTATTATTCTTTGCATGATTTTCTTCTTTGTGGGGGGCTGCTTATGGATGATGCCCAAAGATGCTGCAAGCAGTGCAGGCTATAAAGAGCTAACCCCACAACTGTATTATTTTAAGAAGTGAGCCTGAGCAAAGCATATGAGATAACTCACAGCAGAAATCAGAGTAACTCTTACCCAAATTCCATTCCCAGCCTAACACAAGAATGCTCTGTCTCTTCTTTTACAAGCCTTTCTTGTGTCAGCAACATATCTCTAGCAACCAGACATAGCTCCCTCACCCAATTAAATCAATGATTGTGTCACTAATAACTATCAGTGGCTTTGGCTGCTCAGGGACTTTGCTTGCTCAGCGCTGACTATCCTAGTTCCCCATTTTACTCTCTTTTTTAACTGTCTCTAAGTCTTCCTTCTCACCTTGCATAGTAGCACCAAGTAAGTAGGAGATTGGGATCCTCTGATGGGGTCTCCAATACTTCTGATACTTTTAAGTGTGATTTCTTCTTTTATTCCAAGTATAGGATTTATTGGGTTTCCTTATTTACAACTTTCTTGTTTTCTTTCCAAAACTTTCTAAAATTTTTGGCTGCTTTAGGCTTACAAACTTGTTTCTTTGACATTATTTCTCTCTTCTCAAACATTTAATTAAGTATTCTATTCCTAAGCATACAAATGTAGTTATTTTCTTTCTGTTTCTTCATCAGTCGCTCTATTTTTAATCTTAAATTCTCCTTTTACTTTTGTAAAAAGTCATGTTTGACATGATCTCATGATTTTAATAATTATTTTTAGGTTCATTAAAGATAAGGTTTTTCAAGAGCATTTTTCAATCTGATTAAATAGACCTAACTTAAATATTACTTAATTAAACTGTAAGATTTTATGTTCCTAGTCATCTATATTTATGAGTTTAAGTGACACTTTGAGCACCAAATTATGTTTTTAACTTTCTCAGTGGAGTTTTCATTGTATTTCTTTTGCTTCTTCCATTGTTAGAGAGACCCAAATTCTCTTGAAGTACCCTATGTGTATTTCTAATTCACCTTTATGGTTTAAGACTTCTAGTTTATGTAGGGATATGATTTTCAGACTTTACTGGTTAACCTCTATATTTTATATCCCTATTTATATCTTTAGAAATCAATGCTCAAATTAAGTAAATAAACTCAAAATACAAGCCCTCTTCCATTTCACATTTATGTCTTTCATTTCCCACCAGCACTTAAGTTTAGCCTTTTTATAGTCCTAATTACTTCATGGAATTGCTATTTTATTTAAACTTATAATTAAAACTACTGTTTAGTAATTTTCGTCATGTTCAGAAGTAGGTAGCTGACTCTGTCTTTGAAAGATAGAAACAGAAATCCATTCTGGCTATTTTGCCTATGATGTTTGAAATGTGATTATGTTGTTTAAACATTACACAATCAAGATTATCATTTTGACTTGCCTTTGATGTGTTTGGGTAAAACATATCTTTAAATTTTAAAAATATTGTTGCTAAGTTCAAGATTGTTAATAAGACAAATTAAATATATTGTATAATATTAGCATTTTACTTAATAGAGCACTATATAAAAGCTTGAATTAACACAAAGGAAAATAAATTGCACCTGAATTAGAAGTTCGCTTTATGTTGTGGAGATTTTTATACTGGAATAGTTAGATTTTTTTTCCTTACTTGCCTCCATCAGTAAAGTGTGCTGCAAATATATTTCTCTCTCTCTTTTTTTTAAAGATTTAGGAAAAACACTGGCCACCAGTGAATAGTCTCATATCTTAGAATATAGTCAAGTTATCTGGTAAATTATTTCTTCGGTTTATTAATTATACTTTAAAGGCTGTGTTTGCATGCATAACATAATCAGTAGGTAATTTATTCATAATAAAAATAATTGTGTATAGAGAACAAATTTTAATTCACCCAATGATTTAAATTGTTTTTGTATACAGAAAGATTTTTCCATTTTTTCATATGTATTTCTTTAATTCTTGTTTGAAATTTCAAGTCTATAACTTTTTAAAAGAAAAGATGGTAAACTATCCTCCCTCTGGGATAGGAATACATCAACAGAAACAGATTTTTACCTCTTTGCAGCAATAAATATGCCAGAGAAATCTAACTCAATAGGAAATTATCTATAAAACAGGAATTTCTTTGTCATTCTATCTCTTGCATAAAGGAATTACTCTGGGGAATATAAAGTAGACGAATATTGTGTGATTAATTTTGACATCATAAGAGACTTCATTTAACCATAAAATCAAAGAGAAAAAGATAAATGTAAGCATGGATGTGTTATGTGATAGATTTCCAGTGTAATTATTCTTTTATACTTTTTCAAATACACTAAAATTATCTTCCCACATCATCAGATCCTTCTAAATAATTGTTTATAAACTTCAATAAAAAACAGTATAAAGTTTCAACTTTTTCATGCTGTGAGCTGTTTCACTCTACTTTCCAGCCTAAAGACACATCACTAGTTGTGCACTCACATTACAGTGTAGTTACCGTTTGGTTTATGATTTCTGAACAAACCATAGTGTTTCTCCATTTCATCAGTGCGGAATGACCTCAGTTTTATTCCTTCTATGGAAACCCCATCAGGAAAGGCTGGATTGCCATTTTCTTCTTTCTCTTACTGATTCTTTACCTTTACAAGCCACACCCATACTTA